GTGCGGGGCTTCCCCGCTGCCACCGAGGTGGTGGTGGTTGTTGTTTACCCAGTAAGCCTCGAGGATCTCGCTGTGTGAGGAAGGGGTGGTTGGAGCTGAGCTGAGGACCGCTGGGCACGCTGCCTGGCTTCGACTGAGACCTACAGTTGGCCTTTTGCCATCTGAAAGCCAGCTCCGGGGAGATGAGGCTGGTACCCAGTGGTGGGAACAGAGGGGGGACAGAGAGGGGGCCCAAAGGGCTCACTGATATCAGAAATCAGCCTCTGTCCCTGTGGTTTAGAGGCTGGAGAGACAGCTTAAGCACTTTCTGGTCAAAGCCTGCCAAGGAGGAGAATGCTGTAGGGGCAGAAACAGATGGGGAGGCCTGGAAAATCTTTTGCAGATAAGAGCCGTGGACATCCAGGCTGGGACAGGGAAGGAGAAGCAGAGAAGCATCTCTGGCAGAGCCGAGCTCTGCCCACCCTGCACAGGTTCCTACACCCTTGGGTGTCTTCAGCGGGCATGATGTCCTGAACCAGGAGGTCACAATTCCTCACCTGATCTCCTTCTCCTCCAGGATCTCCATGTCATCCGTGAGCAGCTTGCATGCATAGCCAATGTTCATCGCCGTTTCTGCAAGACGCAGGAGATGGTGCAGCCCACCCCATCCCCGGGCAGCCCCCAGCCCCCAGGTCCAACAGCCCTTGGTGGGCAGCAGCTGCTGAGAGCTCTGTTCCAGCTCTGTGCCATCACGCAGATGGTTTCCCCTGCCTCAGTTTCCCCATGGGTGACATGATCTGTGGGATGTGCTGCTATTGTATACTAAAGGGAACAGCAGAACCTGGCTGCTGCCCACTGCTAGGGTCTCATCTCTTCTCTGGTGCTCGTTAGAGGAGAAGCCGAAATGTGTTGGTGGGGTCTGGGGTTTCCTCCACTGACCTTGTTTGTCTCCCGTCAACACCCACACTTTAATGTTGCCCAGTTTCAGCAGCTGGATGGTCTCAGGGACTCCATCTTGCAACTTGTCCTCAATGGCCGTGGCCCCAAGCAGCTGGAAGGAGGGTGAGTGGGTGTCATGACATGGGGCAGGGCAAGATAGAGAGGTGGGAATTGCCTCTGGATCCAGCCAGGAGTCCTTGCCCATGGGTGGACACGACCTGACGGATATCTAACGCAGTGTCTACTGGCACATCACAAAGTCACCCCTGGGGGGGAAACTCCTCCTGCTCTCCCACCCAGGGGATGGGTGTTGGGTTGGACACTTCATCCCTCATCCCGGAGAGCCAAACCCCGCGCTCCTGTCCTCTGCGGGATCAGTGCAGCCGGTTCCTCCTAAACCCCAGCCTCATCCCACCTGCAGGTTCTGCTCCATCTCCTCGTACAGCTTGTCCAGCTCCCGCGCGCGGTCTTGCAGCAGGACGCTGGCCTCGCAGTGCCTCCGGCTCCACTCGCTGTACTCGACCTCGCTCACCTCCTTGCTGGCCAGGCATAAAGTCCTCAGTGTCTCCTCTGCAAAGCGCTACAGAGATGAGACATCAGGTCTCCCTTCCCTCAACCAGGATGACTTTCACAGCGGACCAGGGCATCGCGCCAGCCAGCCACGATGCTCCCCATGGGCAGAGCCAGAGACACTCTAGGATCTGAGGGTCTCCCTCCGGGCTCTGACTCCCTCCCCCATCCTACAGCATCCCCATGAGCATCCTTGCGATGCAACTGGTCCATGCAGAGCACCGAAGGTGGATTTGATGCCCTCTTAGCCCCTGTCCCATATGCAAGGGAGGCTTCTAGAGCAGAAGGAAGAAAGAAGGACCAAAATCATGAAGCCAGAGGGAGAAAGAGCAGCAGGGAACTCCAGGACACGCAGCCCAAAGCCAGCAGCAGGGCGACCAGCCCATTCTGCCCCAGGCTGGCGTGGGACTCACATCCAGCGCCATCTCAGTGAAGGTCTCATTGGGCCCTCGCCTCTGCAGTCTCTTCAGGATGACCGTGTCAGCCCCCTTGGTGTAGAGCCGGATCGTGCCCTGGGGGTCTCGCACTGGGAGGGAGGGGAAGGACAGCTTAGGTACCCAGAGAGGTGGCTCCCGCTCATCGCTGTCCCCACGCAATGGCCATGCTGCAGAAGGCACTGCGGGGGACACTGGTGCTTTTCTGCCTGCGGTCATAGAAAGCACAGGAATTTCCCCAGATCCGCACCACCACGAGGCAGGATCAGGCCTCAAGGACTGTCAGTTCCTCACACGCCTCCTCTGAGCCCCTGATTTACTCGCTGTCTCTTGGCTATTCAAACCCTTCTCGGTTGTCTTCACCAAGGTAGCGGGGTGAACGACACCGCAGGGATAACGAGGACGATCCTTAGGAGCCCCTGTGCCAGCTGCAGTCAACCGCAGCCATCCTGGTGCCATCCCTTGTAGGGCTGAGTACGGAAGGGACCCTCCGTATTCCTGAAGGGGCCCCCTGAGACACCCCATCCCACTCACCCAGGACAGACATCCTCTTGCGATCGCTGTTGAAGTCCAGCATGGCCAGCACTTTGTACGTCCTCTTCTTCCCCAGCTCACTGATGGTGATGGTGTCTTGCGTTCGGGCCAGAAAGATGTACCCCAAGTTCCTGGCTGCCAACACCAGTGCTTCTTCATCTGGTGAAGCTGCCTGATAAACCAGTTGGTCTGTAGAAGAAGAGCAGGGCTTAGACAAGGAGACTCCCAGCCAAGCGACTCTTGGCCATCTGAAAGACCCTGTTCTTGCCCAGCACCAACATTATCTATGGACACCCTAAAATCCAAGCCACCAGGCTAGGGAAACTCAGTCCTTATTGTGTCATCTCTTCTGCTCATTGCCCCAGGCAGGACAAGTGCCCAGACCAGGATGGATTATCCCCCGGTGCTTCTGTTTTCCAACTCTTAGCTTTAAAACAAACCCAAATGTACACATCCATGATGCTAGGACAGTGGCACAAAGCATCCCCGGGCTCTCATGGCACCTGGTCCCCACATAGCAAAGCTTTGCTGGGCGATGGGAAAAACACCCCATCGTGATCTCAATGCCTTGAACGGCAACTTGACCCCGCTCTGAGGATGTCAGCCACCACGGCCAACCCACCGCCCTTCTCCTCCACCATGACAGTGTGGCAGAGGGCCAGCAGCCTCAGGAACTCCCTCAGCACGGGGTCACTGTCCCGCCGGGCAGCTTCCAGCAGCGTCGCATCGCGGAAGTCCAACTTCTTCTCCCCGTGGTGGCTCCAGGTCAACCCCAACCCCTGGAAGAGGCACAGTTCAGGCTGCAGGCACCCGAGAGAGACCGAGCAGGGGGTCTCTGCACCAGGGATGCTGCTGGGTTGCAATACCGCAACCCTGTGCTGGCACGGGCCGATCCAGATCAGAGTCCGTAAGCCGAGCTCTGCATTGCTTACACCAAGGGGGTGAGTATAAAAAGGTTGGGAATTTAAATAAAAATTAAATGTGAACTGCGTTCTTTTATAAAACCCGGTTCCCCTGTCTTTAACTGGCAGCTGAGGACTGGCAAACTCGCTAGCCCAAGGACGGACACGCCGCGCTCTTACAGCATGGGACCCTGTTGGGAGCAAGCTGTGCTCCAAACCAAAAGGTTGGGCCCGCTGCCGGCGTAATCAACAACTGCTGCGGCTTTGGCCCCGACAAGGAGCAGCACCTGGCCCCACGTTCCACGGGAGAGGGGAGTTACGCACCGACGGCTGTTTGGTCTCATGGCCTGTGCCTGTCCCTGCCGAAATAAAAATAATTCAGTTAACAGAGAGCTGGCAGGGAGCATCACTAGTGGGGACTTCCAGCAGCTTTTCTAGAAGGGACTGCTGCTTTTGCTGGCCAAAAGATTGGCAAAAAAATTTTTCAGCATCTGCTCGGGTTCCATTAGGCTATCCGGGTTGGACTTATTTGGCTCTCGGACTGTTCAGACTTTCGATAAGTTTTTGATGTTAAAAATTCAGGTCTGGCTTTCACCCGCGTTTCCTGGGAGACTGCGGAGACCAGCGGGATTACGGTGATGCTGCTATCGAGGAGGTGCAACACGATACACCAGGCAGGGGAAAATTGGGTTTATTCCTGCTTAAAAACTTTGCTAGATTTTTTTTTTCCCTTCCTCTTTGCTTTTCTCACTGTCCATTTGTCTCAAGTGCCTGATACTTGTCTCAGGAAAAAGGAGCTCCATGCTAAAGCTCTGGCCTGCCCCGCTTGCTAAATTTCACTAATTAAGCACTGAGACAGCGCCCAGAAGCCGATCGAGAGCTCGAGTAAGTATAGTAATAAGAAGAGGGAGGACTTGGCAATTCTCAGGTTTCTAAGGGGAAAACCAAGCAGAATCATTTAAAAAAAAGAGCAAAGAGTAGTTACATGCCTTCACTGTAAAGAAACAACATAAGGGAAATGATCATTTCTTTGCCTCCTCCAGAGGTCACCTGGAAGCCTCAACGTGCCCACATTTGGGAACCAAGCTGGAGATTCACCAGAAAACGATGCAAGGAAGAAAAGTAAACCCTCCTTTTTCTCTCCAAGATCTTCATAGAAAATAAAAATCCATGGGCTTCACTGGCCCATCACCCCGTGGCTCCTCTCCCTGCCCTGTCCTGACCGCCTGGGCCAGCATCAGCTCGTTATTCCAGGCGGGATCCACCTCACTCAGACTATGTGTTGGCCACGTAGCTGTGCTGGGCTCCCTTTTTCACCAGGGAAAACCTAGGTGATCTCAGCAGAGATTGAGGCATGATACATCTCCTGAAAGCTCGACACCCATTTTAGAAGGGCAGAATTGTGCCCTGACTCCATGCACTGAGAACACGAGACAAATGAGACCGCAGGCGTGGTGGCCCCTGCAAAGCACCTTCTTCTACCTCCGCACCGGACCGCCAAGATCAATCCACGTGCCTCAAGCTTCCTAGCAAGCCAGGAGGAGTGGAAAGAACCAAGTCAAGGTTTACCTAACTCGTGAGTCCCTACAGACTTGCTTCCACCAAAAGTTACCGTAGATGGTCCCATTGATACAGCATTTCTTGAAGCTCATAATGTTTTGTGTCAAGGTCCCGGTCTTGTCCGAGAAGATATATTCGATCTGGCCAAGCTGATCATTGAGGCTGGTGCTTCTGGCTTTTGCTGGAATGTCCTTGACAGCATAATACATTTCCAGATCCCAGTTGATAAAAAAGCTGTTCACCAGATAGATGAATTCAAACCTAGGGAGTCAGGTAGAAGAAAAATTCGGCTGCGGAAGGAGATTGCGTTGCTCACATCCCAGGGGCACTTGGAGGTCTGACTCAGGAAGAAAGGGCGGAGGGGAACTCCCCACTTGGACCCTATTGCTCTGAGCCTGGGGGAGGCAAGGGGGTTTTCATTGTTCGTGGCCAGGTTTCCAGAAGGCTCATCACACCGGACTGAGAGCGCACTGGGTCCCAGGTAACTGGGCTCCCCTCTGGAAATCTGGCCCTTGATGACAAAAATTCACAGACCTGGAGATTCAGTGAAGGGCTGGAAAGTTTGGGAACTGCTTCTTCCAGCCCGAATTGTGATTATTGCCTGCTCACTGGCTGTGCCCTTCTCTTCCCCACCCTGCTGCTGCTCGCTGGGGAAACACCACCTTCATCAGCCTCATCCTCAGCCTGCCCGCAATTCCCAACAGCAGGACATGTCTTAGCATCTCTTTTCTGGCTTTCCTCTGAGAAGATCTCAAAGCACATCATCAATGTTTGTAAGATACACACCCCAACCATCCTTACCCTCTTACGGCTAAGGGTACACATGGGAATGAGTTGCTCAGGGTCACAGCTGGATCTTTTGTGCAGCCCCATTTTGTGCCAGATGATGGCCAAGGACAGGGGGTGGGATACTGATCTCTGATCACTTCCAAAAGCCTGTTGTTCTTACGTTATATACATGGACATGGGTATGATGATGCTCAGGAGGATCGTGAAGCCCCAGAAGTTGAAGAAGGCCTGCTGGGCAGGAGTTGTGTGCTTGTAGAAAGCAGAGAGGTAGCTGTGCTTCTCCTGGAACATCCTGGCCCAGAACCCAGAGGCAACGGCGAGGCACAGCGACGTGACCAACAGCACCAGGAAGATCTGAGATGAGAAGCCGAGATGAGAACATCCCATCACACGAAGCCCACCAGACTCTTTGCTAGGACCAACCATTGCCCCTTCCAGACCGTTCGTCTCATTTAGCTGTAAACCTAAGTTGTCCTTGTGCCTGGAGCTGGTTCTCAGAGCTCATCCTCGCCTGAGATGAAGGATCACAGCACGTATTTCACCTTGACACATCCACAGCACACATCCAGCAAAACCCAACTTTCCCACCCTCCTAACTGCCTCAGATACCATCTCCCTGGACGAGGGGTGTCATGCAGCCTTCCTGCTGGAGTACCAGCAAACAGAGGAATGCTAGTGGCCAACCTGAGAAGTCATGACACTCAACCACCAGGAACAGGAGTAAGAGCCATCCAGTTCCTCGGTATGACCACACTGCTTTGCATCCCACCGAGGAAAGGCTCCTCCTTCCCCCGTCCTCCACCGACTCTGTGCTGAGCCACAGCCTGCAGGTCCCTCAGCGCAAGCCACCTCCTCGGACCTACACAGTTGTGGATTAGTAAAGCAGGCCGGGAGGGGCTGGAGGTTCTGAATACTCCAGCAGGTCCAAGGGGCTGCTCTACAGCTGAGGGTTTAAGCAACGCAACCACCATGCAGACTGCTCCAGACCCAGCAACGGCCACTTCTTGGGAACATCACTTGGTGTTTGCCCATGACATGTTGAACCCAAGATATTTTGAGGAAAACATTGCAAGCTTAAGAAAAATCAGCATCACCCAAGCAAGGAGCCTCTCATGAGAAGACTTGTGAGCAACCCCAGAAGGTTGGTGGACAAAGGCAGATGTTTTCACCGCACTCACTATGATCACCAGCCGGTCCATCATGCGATCCAGCTTGGTTTTCTTCCGCTTGATCTTTCCACAGTTCCTCATAATTTTGGAATCAAATCCTGGACGAGAAACATTTTAGAAGTAAAAATGCAAGTCCACAGCACCCAGAAGGTTGACTTGCAGCTATGTGATGCTGGTTTTCTCCATAAAAGCATCTCCCCACCTCTGAAGACTTCAGAGGCCCACATCCCTTGGTCGGTGGTTAATCAAGCCGTGGCTGCACACTCAAAGTGCCTCCCCTCTGCCCACAGCTACTCATGGCCAAGGTCTCAACTGCGCTGGGGCACAAAGGGGAGTGGATCCAGGATATGGTGGAGGTGAGATATCACCTGGGATGAGCAGAAGTTTGGTACCACCACATCATCTCCCTGCCAGCCAACCCAACACCGGCAAAGCTCAGGACAAACTTCGGGGGGCTTGGTTACAGCGGCAGGTCCTCCGACTTTGTATCAGCTGAGAATGGGATCTGCTGATGCCAGAAGTGCTTGAGTAACTTAAAATCCCCGGGACCTGGGTGTTTTCTGCCCTTCCTGATCTGGGCCCGGGCACTCACCTGCGTAGATAACCAAGCCGTAGCAAATGTCGGTGTTGCGAAGCTTGCAGCCTCGCAGCAAGATCCTTTCGCTGTCAAGCGAGTAGGTCTCGCCCCTCCACTCCAGCGTGCCGGTGAAGCTGTGCATGCGGCTGTTGGGCTCCTCGCAGGTCACTGTCCCTTGAGCAGAGGGCACGATTCAGGTGATGGCTTTGGGGGAAAGGAGAGGACTTTCCTCTCCCCTCACCCCCCCCAAGACTGCCCTCTCCAAAGAGGGGTGCTGGGGGCTTCTCGGGGAGATTCAGGTTTTGTCAGGGCATCTCCAGATGCAGGTGGGATATGGATGGTTCAAATTAAGGCGAAGCTGGAGGGCCATCCTGCAGTGCTGGGAGGGTGCTCAGTCCAGGAACCGCACTGGGCTATAAAACTGGAGGAGGTGCAAACACAGCCCCCTTCATCCCCAGAGCATCTGAGAGGGGAGTCTGCATCCTACGGGGGACCAAAGGGGAAAAAAAACGCAGGGTGTGAACTCAGATTTGGGAGCCAAGCACTGGATTCCAGTGGGAAAATCAAGATTCAGGGCAGGGAGAAGGTGCAGAACCGCAATGGGTCCATGGGATCACAGAGCCGCTCTGCTGGGGAAGGGCCTCCACGCCAGGTCTTGGGCTCCTTGCAGGCAGCAGCAAGTGCAACCTCCCGTGGGACTGATGGCATTTGGTGCCTGAGGGGACAGAGACTTCCCAAGGCTGAACCCATCGCGTCCTGGTGGGATGGCCACATCCTCGCCCATCTGGGAGACTCACCATCAAAGGCAGCCATGCTCTCCTCGTTCACCAGCTCCTGGTGGGTGACCAGAAGGGCTTGTCTGAACTTTAGGTTTGTTTCCCTATGAACAAGAGCCAGGGAGGGAAAAATAAAACCACCCTGTGGGGTCACAGAGTTGTTAATTCTGCTGTCAGACCCGTGGGACAGAGACGGCCATTAATTATCAGGTGATGGCAATGAAAAGTGAGATGGGGACATCAAGCGCTCGTGCAGGGAGAGAGCCCTGGCCTGGAGACCTTGCCCTTAAATCGTCCTGCAGACGGAGGCGGGAAGGATGGGCAGCCGCTGTCCTCCGCCTGGCTAGGACGGAGTCGAGAGATGGAGAGAGATGCCCGAGGTCACGAGCTGCTCTGTAGAAGCCTCAAAAGTATTTTTGGCCTTCCATTTTCAAAATTTGGGGCTCAAATCCCATTTCTAGAGTGTCTGTAGCTTTAGCTTCTGGAGGATCTCCCACATCCCATGGTTTCTGCTGAACTTGCAGCCTCCCAGCGTGCCTGACATCCCCCCCTCCCAGTGCCGGGGGGTCCCCAGGACTGGAGGCTCCAGCCTTCTCTGTCCTTCTCCGCCCAGGGCAACAGCGGTCGCCTGCCTCTCTCCTCACCCATCGATGTCGGCAGTCTCCACGTAGCACAGGCTGCTGGGCTCTGAGCTGCACAGCAAGAGCATGTCGGCCTTGAAGAGCAAAAAGGGGGAGAGAGCACCTGGCTGAGCCCCTCTTTGCCAAAACTCCCCCCCCGACTACCACCGGTGCGCAGCCAGCTCCGGGGCACCGCTCACCGGGACGAAGCTCTCCTTGCGCAGGCGGACGATGTCCCCGACGCAGATGTCACGCCATTTCTGCCAGCGGAAGCTGTAGGAGAATGAGAGCGGAAAGTTTTATCCTTGCAGAGCAGTGGGAATGGGGGCTGTGGCTGGTTCTGGGCTCTGGAACCCCGCCCGTGAATGGGGGCTTTGGCTGTTTCTGGCCTCTGGACCCCAGCCTGTGTCCCAGCTTCTTGCATGAATGGGGTCTCCAGGTTGTTGGTTCCTCTGCCACCATGGTGGTCTCCAATCTGCATGACCAAAGGATGGCTGAGCACCGAGGATGGCACAGGACTCATTTGTCACATCCATATCCCCCATTCCTATGGGTGGCAAGGACCCTGGCCACAGGTGGGAGATGTTGGTCCTTCCCCGGACCAGTGTTTAGCGGTGATATGACTCTGTGGGTTAGATATGAAGACCTGGAGGAACTTCTGTGGCCAAGGAAGCCCTCCTCCCAGCTTATGACAGCAAGTCAGTGTATTTTAGACCTGTTGTCTGTGACTGGAATGTGATCAACCCTACAGGGGAACAGCTGGTCCCGCAGCGGATTTTGGGAGGTGATGGGAGCTTGTAGAGTCACAGACAGTCCCACCAAAACCCTTCTCAGCTGCTATGCTCAAGGATGCTCAGCACTTCAGATGATGCATCGCTCCACCCAGGCCTGGAAAACGTGGCTATAGCTTCCCAAAGCCCCTCACCTCTTCCCAGACAGGATTTCACATGGCCTGCTGTTGATGTTTCTGTCACTTTGGTGACGGCCCTGCACAGAGGAGAGAAAAAAAAAGAGGACAAAAGAAAGGGATGGGCCATGCCAGACTTCCTTGTCCCGTGAAAAGAACCCTCTTAATGCCACAATCTGCCTCCTCAGCCCCAGGGCAAGGTCTGCTTTCTGAAGGAACTGGAAGATGTCTTCTGATGACTGAAGAGGCTAAATTCCCCCCAGGTATTTCTGGGGACCAACCTGGGAATATAGCCATTGGTTAAGATATTAAAGATGACAGAGATGGAGGTCTAGACCCCAAGGAAAGCAACCGGCTGGTCAAATCCTACCCAAGGGAAAATACAAAGCATTTTGGACATGGTGGAGTCGATGGTACCTCAGGAACGACACATGTCAGCAACTCCCAAGCTTTTCAGTTCACCCACAGCAAAGGGACCCTTTCTGCTGACCGTCCCGTCCCCCCCGCCCCCCAGGACCTACGCCCAACACAGCCTTTCGCTCCAACCCGTACTCACAATGTCATCGATCAGGTCTCGTAGACCCCGGATGGTGAGGAGACAGCTCAGGGGGAACAGCAGAGTGTACCAGGGCAGTGTGGAGATCTCAGGGAAGGTCTAGAGAAGAACAATTTTACACCACTGACAAAGCTTTCATCCCACCTTGGGACACTTGAGGTGACTGAGTAACTCCCCCTCGCTCCCAGCTCCTCTCCCCAGCCAGCGCCTGAGGATGGCAGGAACCTGTCTAAGGAGAATCAAATCAACATCTTTGTCTACGGAGAACTGTCCTGTTGAATTTCCACCTCTTTGTAAAGTGGATGTGTGAAATGCATGTGGGTCCCTGAATTCCAAGGGTAGGATTTCTATTTAGGTGTGGTCTACATGAGCTTCGCTTACATCCCAACCCCATGGGTTTAAAGTCACCAAACTCAACACAGGTTAAACCCCTCGGAGCTCACGAAAGACAGCGAACACCACTGAAAAACGGCATCCTTGACACCATTTTAGATCGGAGTCCCCTCCTCTACACACCAGACAACCCTCCTTTGCTAAACAGTCTCGCACACGCTTGCTCCTACCTTGGTGTCCATCTCACCTGTAAGAGGATGACAAAGACGAAGTAGACGTTGGCCATTCGGTGGAACTGCTCATAGAGGTTCAGCGGCAGGAAGGTAAAGATGTTGTACTTGGATGTCTTAATGGCATTGCCCTGCAGAAGAAAGGCAGGTCAGAGCCACGGTGGGAGCTCAGCCATATGAAATCAAGGATGTCTTTTGAAAAATGCCGAAAACAGTCCGGTGTTTTTAGGACTTCTCAACTTTTCATGGCCTAAGAGATGCCTTTTAAAATTTACCAAAGCCATAAGGAAGAAAAGAGATTAAAGAGATCAGAGCAAAAGGCCATATAAAAGTAAAACAAAATAATTTGCTTCTGATCATCTAAAGCAAACCTAACTGACCCCTAAGTAGATGCTCATTATTTACCTGGAAAAAAAAAATAATCTGGTTTTGTTCAATCAAAACTTTAAAAAAATAAAAAAATCTTTCTTTTGATTTGACCATCAGACTAAAAAGTCTCCTTCATACAGTTCTGCTCCTTGCCTGACAGCTCCAGAGGGCATCTGGGGCACCAGGCAGGGAGCAGCCCTTCCTCCTCGTTGAGGATTACATATGTGAGATGTGATTCTCCATCGTACTGGAGATCGCTCTGCAGCATCGCCGTCGTGTCACCCCCCAACCACCACCAGCTCAGGAATCAGGGGCTGGGTGAAGAAATAGCCCAGGACTGGCCCAGGCTGACTCACCGCATACTTCTTCTTGGTCAGACAGAAGGCAAATTTCTTCTTGAATTGCATATGGTAGTTTCGGTCGTTGGCCCTCACCTCCCAGGTGAAAGCTGGAAAAGCAAGTGGATATCCACCAGATATCCTGACCATCAGGCTCTGGCCTCCAAGGACAGAAGGAGCGGTGATGGTGCCACTGGGCTCATGGTGACCCGCTGCTGGTGAGATGGGCTTTCCCTGAGGTACGACTGGGACAGAGCTGGATCTTTGGGGTCCGATGGGTTACGGAGTGGACGGAGCGGGCAGGAGGCCAGAAGCTTGCAGAGATGTGGGATGGCTGCGTACACTTCCCTTCTGAGCCTCAGGCTAACCATTTGGGCTCAGGTTTTGGTTTAACAGTATAAGCAGGACAGGTGAAGGATGACTCCTCCAAGCATGGTCTTTGCTGTTCTGAAGACTGGTTGTTCCTCTCCTGATGTCGTTTTTGCTATCCCAGTGCCAAGCAAGGGCAACATGGCTGGGATGTCCCAACTCCTGCACCCCAGCTGACTGTCCATCCTTCCAGACTATTTCACCCCGAATCTGCTTCTTCCCCATCTCACAACCCCATCCCACGTTCAACTTTCTCATAAACTGCCAAAAAAAAAAAAACCAAACCCCGAAACACACTCATTGCACACTGACCTGGCAGCTGCGCCTTTCCATGCTGGCAGCCTGAGGCTGGGTCCTGCTCAGCCATGCTGGCACCGCTGCCAGGACCTAGGAACAAGGACAACCACAGATATTTGCAATGCTGAGCGATGACAGAGTGATCCCGCCGGGATGCTCCAGCATCCCAAAGCTGGGCCCTCCATCTCTCCATGATGCAGAAGGGACACCGGTGTCTTCCCCGTAGGCACAAACTAATTTCGACCTTTTTACTGCCCCGGAGATGTCACACCCCACACTGACAGGCAGTCCTCCGTAGCCATCTGAACGTCACAGCTCAGTGACGTCAGGCTGAATATTTGTTATCAGAAAACATCTTTCTCCCTTTAACCCTGATGTTTGTTGCCTCGCCTTTTGCAGGGCCAGCCACAGCTCAGATCCGAATTGAAATCCACTTCACCCCGGCATTTTTTTCCAACAGTCACAGGTTTGCCCTTCACGGGTGCCTTACGCTTACTCAAACCTTGCGTGGGCGTTGGCGCTGGGGATTGCCTGGCCAGACCCCTGCCTTCTCCATGTCCTCAGGGATGCTCAACAGCTTTGGCGTGGGTCATCTTTCAGACCCACCTTCACCCAGTCCCAGCTGCCCATGACAACTCAAAGTCATTTTTCCTCTCTGACGAAGTTATGGGAAATCATTTGAAGTTATCAGCGAGGAATAGAAACTCTCCCTGTCCGGCCATCACACCCGAGCATCCGTCATGCCTAGAAAGCAGCCACCTTCATCACTGACAAGATTTCCCTTACGCTCAGTAGCTCCGTGACCTTCCCTGCAGGGATGTTAGGGAAGATTAATTAATGTTTGTGAAGCGCTTTGTGATCCTTACATGAAAGGAGCCAGTGAGGTATAAAGCATTAATTACCTTATTATTAAATAATCCCCCCCAGAAGTCTGTCCCTGCCATTATTTTTTATCTCACAGCTTTGATCACGTCTTTTTTCCATTCTTTCACCAAAGTATCTACTTGTCTCCCTATTGCTCCTCGAGGTACAAGGCAAATTTGATATTGGTTTGCCCAACACGCGATGCTGCCCTGAGATGCTGGCGGATGCCACCGGCCGGGCCAGAGACCCCAAAGAGCAACACGGGCAGCACCTCAGCCCCCGCAACCAAGGGCTTGTCAAAAACCCCCAGCTTTGATCCACAACGTCATCCTTCTTTTTGACCACTAAGGACTCGGCATTTGTCACTGTATTTGCATCCTAAATGACACCCGTGAACTGTGCTACCTCCCACAGCTCCAACTCCCATTTGTCCCACAGGTAAGAGGGAGTGGGAAGGGCAGGGATACCTAGAGGGATGAGATTTCTTCCATACTCAGCTGCCCAGAAACTCCTTGGTGCCCAGATTGGCTGTTCCTACTTTGTGCAAAATAAGGTTGCGAAGGATTTGACACAGAGAAATGCAAATCTCTCATCTTCATCCCTGCTATGACCCCACTCGTGTCCTCGGCCGGCTGAAGCTGTCAGCTTGGGACATCTTTCCATGCAGACAGCCAGTTCTGGGCTGCGTCTGGTTGCAGAGAGACAAAGCCAAGGGCACCAAACTGCCCTCCATCTCCTGCTCCTGGCAGGTAACGTTTCCTTGCCTCCTCCTAACAGAGGGGTGGGCTCCCCAAACCACGCAGGGGTACCTCCTCCTCATGGACCATAAATGGGTCAAGGGATACAGGCTCAAGGGAGGCACCTGCACCGTAGGGAACATCCGACAGGAGACAAGATGGACCTCAGGGTATCCAGAATGGGGAAAACTGAGCCACCTGCGCACACCCCTCTAAGCCATCTGGTGTCCCTTGGTTTGTACTGGTGGAGGTAACCATCCCTGCCATGACCCCATCTCCAACACTGGGCCAGGGCACAGCAAGGTCCTCACCAGCCCGGGTCCATCCTGCAGTCCCCAACCATGGGTAAGAAGGGCAGAGCCTGGGTTGGCATCCAGGGTCAACCCTGAGCCCAGACGAGACATAGCCCGGTGACTGCTGGGCAGGTTCACTGGGACAAGACAGCTCCAAGGCCAAGCCAGAAGGTCAAGTCCATGGGTAGAGGGCTGAGTCCATGGCCAGGCACAGGCACGTGGCCAAGCTGGAGGCAGACTCACCTACAACAAGGCTTGGGCTAGGACTGAGCCCCACGGCTGAGCTTAACTAGACCCCATGGGTGGGTGTGGGAGAGGTCCCAGGTGAGACTGCTCAGGGCCATGAACGCCTGCTTGTGCCCTCGGGACCTCGACCCATTGCTCCAAGCATCCTCTGACCTTGCTCCTTGCTCCAGGACATTAATTCAAGCTGAGGCCAACAGTGCTGAGGGCCAAGATGTTTGCCTGGGCTCACTACTTCCAAACCCGCAAACCGTGTGATTGCTTTAGGCCAAGGGTCTAATCCTGCCCTGCCCTGAGTCTCACCAAGACCTTAGTTTGCTCTGTGGGCATCCTTTCGGAAGGTCCCTCCTGCGCTCAGGATCAGGCCTGAAGTTGACTGTCCATCACGTCCCCACCGCGCTTGACATCTCTGAGCCCCACTGTACCCAGTATCCACCACCATTACCCCCTCCGCACACCCCTCATCGGCTCCAAAGCACCCCTGTTCCCTGGCCATACCAAACGAAGGTACGGCTA